AATTCCCCAAGAGCACTTAGAACCTTGTGCCTGGCACATGGTAAGCACGGGTGTTGCCTATCAATCTGCGCCAGCTGGTGACTGGGGGCTTGGCAGCGATTGCTGCTTTCAGCTTCCTGGTCATTCTGAGAAGTAGGTATCATTACTGGCTGCACCCTCCACTACAAGTGAGAACGTGCTGGTACAGGGAGCCTAAGTAACTTCTTCAAGGCCATGCTGGCTATTATTAAAACATAGGTATCTTGGAAGACAATCCAGGTCTGTCCTGAGAGCACACATTATTTACCCAGACTAACTACTAAACTAAGACAATGGAAGGACTACAGATGGGATTTATTTTCCTGTTTTCCCAATTGTGCTGCTTTATCTAAAACACCCACAATCAACAAATCTGATGAACAAGGCAGAGAAGGACATGGCTTAGGAATAATAAGTGGCGAGGACACAACTTCAATGCTGTCATGTACATGGAAATACTATTAAAATATGTACTATAATTGGAAGGTGAGTCCATGTGGAGAAAATATTTCAGATAGGCTTCTACTTAGAAGTTTGCAATTTCAAGTAACTCAGATGTCGGAACAGCAGATGCTACTGGTCTCCAGCTCTGTTGCTATTCATGCAAGAAGCTCACCTAGCCAGTTGCTACCCACATGCTCGATGCGTGCACACACATCTCACTCCCACCATTCACTGAGGCCCCAGTTCCACTTATCAGCACAGGAGCCTGTGACCAAAGCCCATTTCCCATCTTCGCAGGAGCTAAGCTAATTGTAAAAACATGGGATGTTGGCCAGCCATCGAATACAACTGTGATCAAATTTATTTAGTACCTCCAAATACAACAGAGCCAAGCCCCCAGAGGCAGATTGGCAGGAAGCTGTCTTTCCCAGCAATTTCATTCCCAAACCCGTTCCAGGAGCTCTAACCTGTTTGTCCCTTGAGACCCAATGGTTGCAGACCTTTCTAAGTGTCTGCACCTTCTTTTCGGTACCCTGGGGTTGAACTTAAAATCTCCACTCTGCCTGCACCTCTCCAGCCCCTCTGCTTGGTGGGCTCCTACTGACAGTGATTCTTCTGCTCCATATCTACTTTGTCACTAGCCTCCCAACTTGAACATGCTATGTGCCCATTGGGCCGAACAAACTCCTGTAAATCACCCACCACCCCACATCTCTGCAAACCCCTTCCTCGGCTTATGTCTCGATCTGTCATGGAAGGGTCATTCTCCTGGCCCCCCAATTTTTTATCTGCTCAGTTTAATTCAATCAGCATAGAGTGATGTCCCTTTGAGTCAGGTGCTTGGTGCTGGGAATGCAGTGATGAATAAACGGGTCTCCAAGCCCTTAGGAATTTACATTCTAGTGAGGAAGAAAACCACACAAAGAGATAATTTCACAATAATGTAGTAATGACCCACAAAGATGCGTCCAGGTTAAATGAGAACAACCCACTGTGGTACTGCAGGAAGATTCTGAGAAGGAATTTATGTCTTTTTACATGTGGAAGAGCTGGTTAGCCAGATAAAGAAGAAGAGGAAGAAAATTCAGGTAGAGAGCTTAGGCAAGATGATAGCTACAGGGAAAAGACAAGCAGTTCAGTGATGCTGCTGCTTCAAATGTGAAGCAGAGTGGGCATCACTAAAGGAAGGATTGATAGGAATAATATCATGAGAGGTTTTGCAGAGCCATGTTAAGAAGCTTGGATTTAACTCTGTAGTGCATGGTTTCTTAAGCTTTTTGCATCACTAGTATTTTTTTTTATTTTCTTGTTTTTTTTTTCTTTAAGATTCTATTTATTCATGAGACACACACACACACAGAGGCAGAGACACAGGCAGAGGGAGAAGCAGGCTCCATGCAGGGAGCCCGACGCGGGACTCGATCCCGGGTCCCCAGGATCAGGCCCTGGGCTGAAGGCAGGCGCTAAACCACTGAGCCACCCGGGCTGACCCTTACATCACTAGTATTAAAATTAATGAATTCCATGACCCCATTCTACCAAAAAAAAAAAGGCTATGTGCACACACGTACCCATAATAGATATACAGACACATACAAGGTTGCCCACAATATAACCCCCGACCCACACCCCCAGAGGTCAATCCACATTTAAAACCCTGTAGATGGAGGTAAGGTAAGCTGGGGTGGTGAGGGGGATCTCTTGCACTATTTTCAGCAGAGAATTACATAATGACATGTTAGTTTCTATATGTTACTATAAGGTATCATCACACACAAGTCTGGAGGCAGAGTATAGTATGAAGATGTTCTGTGTTCTAGCAAGAAATAACAAGGCTGTGAGTTTGGGCACTGGGGATAAGGCTTGAGAAGAAGCTAGAAAAGCAGCAGTTCTTGAGGGTGAGTTATGAGGAAGAGGAGTCAGGGGGGCCTTCAGATTTCCAGCTTGAGAAACTGCATGAACAAAATGAAACAGAAGGCTAGTGGAGAGGAGGAAAGATAATGAGTTCATTTTGGACATTTTGAATTTGAATGGTCTTTGAAACAGCTGGCTGAGAACCAGGCAATTGAGTATACTGGGCTGAAGTCCCGAGGAGAGGTCCAAGAGGAGTCAAATGAGAATCCACTAACTTGATTTTCATTGCATTAAATTCATTTCATTGATAGAAATACCAATTTCTTAAACTTCAGAACAAATAATGTTTTAATTTACCTTTTTTTAAAAAAGATTTTATTTATTTATTCATGAGAAACACACAGAGAGAGAGAGAGAGAGAGAGAGAGAGGCAGAGACACAGGCAGAGGGAGAAGCAGGCTCCATGCAGGGAGCCCGACGTGGGACTTGATCCCAGGTCTCCAGGATCACACCCCAGGCCAAAGGCGGCACTAAACCTCAAAGCCACTAGGGCTACCCTTTAATTTACCTTTTTACTTTACCTTAACATAATTTCCCCTAGAACAAAATAAAAAAACAACTTCTTCTTCTTCTTCTTCTTCTTCTTCTTCTTCTTCTTCTTCTTCTTCTTCTTCTTCTTTTTTGAGAGAGATCAGAGGAGGGAGAAGGATGGGAGAAGAGAGAGGACCTCACGCAGACTCTCACCCCTGAGATCAGGGCCTGAGCTGAAATCAAAGAGCCCATGCTCAACTGACTGAGCCACCCAGGGGCTCCTAGAACAGAATTCTAAAGACATAACAAAGGATCCTGCATTTACTATCACAGTATTCCCCTACTGGAGTTGAAGGAGTCACGGGACCACCATGATAGCATCAAAAAATCTAGCTAAAACTCCCAAATTGGTTACATTCTCTCCTCACTGAAATGCCGTGTCTTCACTTTCAACCTTACATTCACAGTCCTGCATAAATCCAAGTTAAAATCTGATGGATTTAAAAGGCAGCCCCCCAAAAATCAATCTTAGATCCTAGTTGATGTTTTAAATGGAAAAGTTCGGGATCCCTGGGTGGCGCAGCGGTTTGGCGCCTGCCTCTGGCCCAGGGCGTGATCCTGGAGACCTGGGATCGAATCCCACGTCGGGCTCCCGGTGCATGGAGCCTGCTTCTCCCTCTGCCTATGTCTCTGCCTCTCTCTCTCTCTCTGTGTGACTATCATAAATAAATAAAAAAAAAAAAGAACTGTTTAAATGGAAAAGTTCCTTTATATTCAGTTTTACAAAATATAGAATAAAATCATTTTATTATGCCAAAATGTTAGTAAGATTAATATATTGTTGGGAATTTGTAAGCTATCATACCTGGACATGATGAAATTGAACAGGGAGTCTTCTAAAAGATCCATTCCCCACAAAGCAGCCAAAGTCATGTTGTAAATGTAAATCAGAGCATGATGCTCTCAGACTTAAAACCATCCAATGGGTTCCTGTGGCTATTCAAATAAAACCCAAACCTCCCATCCTTTAAGGCCCCACCCTAATTACATCTCACTCATACCCTCACTCAAGCCTTTCCTGGTTCCTTTTTTAAGCCTAGTTTTTCCTGACTTGAACTATTGTATTTTCATCTTCCTGGAAGTATCTGCCCTCAATTTCATAAAGCTGACTCCTTTTCAGACAGAGGCCTTCCCTGACCACCTTGTACAACCCTTGACTACTTGTTACACTCTTATTTTTTTTTAAAGATTTATTTATGTATTCAAGAGAGACAGAGAAAGAGAGAGAGGCAGAGACACAGGCAGAGGGAGAAGCAGGCTCCATGCACCGGGAGCCCGACGTGGGACTCGATCCCGGGACTCCAGGACCACGCTCTAGGCCCAAGACCGCGCTAAACCGCTGAGCCACCTGGACTGTCCGCAATGTGATAAATGTTAATGAGGAGATAAATACAGGGTCCTCTAGGATCACAAAAGAGGAATCTAGTCTTGTTTTAGGGGCTCCCATAAGGAATCGTGGGCAAATTTAAATCCGAAAGATGAGAAAAGGAAAAATGGAGGGAGAGAGGGTGGAAGGGTTGTGGTAAACGTCTAGATAGGAGGAACAGCAGGAGTGAAACCCTGTGGCAAAAGATGGGAGCCTGAGACATTTTAAGTACGTCCCTGTTCCTGGAACACCCCCCCCCCCAGGTACGATGACATAACAATGTACGCGAACGTATTACGAATACGTTGCTGTATAAGTTACGATTAATAAACTCAGACTTGTGCCTAGTGATCACTCATGACCTGATAGTTTCTAATGTTCAAAGAAAAAGGAAAACATTTCAGAGGACTTGGAGTGAAGGCTTCTGAAAGATCCCAGGCCTTTATCCCCACCGCCTTACACTAGCCGCGTACACTCCACGTTGTTGGACTGAGTTGGCGTGGTGAGGGGGCGGGCGGGTGTTGCCTTGACAACGGATCCCACGGCCTGTCAAAGTGAAACGGTTAGACGACTGGCTGCGAGGGTTTCCAGAGGCCCGCCCCCCGTCGCTGATTGGATGGGGGCGGCCAAGCGCCACAACTTTCCCGCAGGGTCTTGTTGCTTAGCAACCGATTTGCGACCTCCCGGGAAGCGGGCGCCCGGCTACACCTATGAGGGGTAGCCTAACCGCGCTCCCTAACTTCAGCTGTGCGGCCCTGCGCTCCGCCGGCCACCCCCACGTCACGCACGAACCTCACGGGTTGGCCCAGGTGCTCCCCTACGTCTGCCTTGAGGCTGGGCTGTGGGCTGGCGCCGCGTGACACGCCGCCGTTGGGGAAGTTTGGTGGAATCAGAGGAGAAAAGGAAAGTCACTGTTGTAAGTCCAGTTTAGAGCCGCTTCTCTCTGGAGGACAGAGCGTTCTGGGGCTCTAGGAAACAAGTCCTTGTGAGCTGGCCAGGTGTGCCGGAGCGACCCAAAGTCTCAGGCTTCTGTCTCCGAGGGAAGCCTAGGAGTGTGGGGACGGGTGCCAGAGCCTTATCATGCACTGCAGAGCTTACTTCTTGCTGGAGAGAGACTTCCAAGAGTTGAAGGAGAACAATTTTAAGGTGAGTGTGGAACCTGGAGAGGTGTGTTTTGTTGGGAGTACGAGTTTTTTGGTTTTTTTTTTTGTTTTTTTAAGATTTTATTTGTTCACGAGAGACACAGAGGCAGAGACACAGGCAGAGGGAGAAGCAGGCTCCATGCAGGGAGCCCGACGCGGGACTCGATCCCAGACCCTAGGGTGACCACCTGAGGCAAAGGCAGAGCAGCTCAACCTCTGAGCCACCCAGGTGCCTCTGGGGTACAGGTTTTTAAAAGCATTTTGATCCGTGTTTATTCTGTAAGGCATAATTTAGTTAGACCTAATTTGCCACGGCAGTATTATTAATGAATCGATTGCACTTTTTATAATAATAATAATTATTATTATTTTAAAGATTTTAGTTATTTACTCATGAGAGACACAGAGAGAGAGGCACGGACACAGGCAGAGGGAGAAGCAGGGTCCATGCAGGGAGCCCGATGTGGGACTCGATCCCGGGACTCCAGGATCACGCCCTGGGCTGAAGGCGGCGCTAAACCGCTGGGCCACAGGGGCTGCCCAGAACCTATTTTTTAATAATAAGAATTATTACTTCATAATCATAATAGTTAAAAATATGGAGCACATTGTGGTAATTTGTGTGTATTTAAACCTCGAATATCAGGTAGTGATTAGTAGAGACAGGGTGTGCTCATGAATTACATTATTAAATAAGTAGTGTTTGGTTTTATCTACCAGAAGCCTACGTCCCAGAAAGGCTCAGTAAAAATTTGGCCCCAGGATCCCATCCCAGGGTTTTCTGATCCCAAAGCCCTTGCTTTTAAGTTCTACCACTCGCTGTCTAAGGCACTTTTTTCCACCCAAGGCTATCAGATATAATACCTAGGTGCCTTTCCTTTATAATTACAACACAGAGGAAGGCTTTGCTGGGAATGCCACCACAGTGAGGTCCATAGGTGCGACAGGCTATGTGTGTCGCTTATGGTGTGGAGAATAAAAAAGGGAAGGCGGGGAGGGAGTGCTTAAGAGAACAGAAAGAAAGCCACCTTGGAGGGAGGGCTTCGAGGGCTACCAACACTTGCTTCAGATGTAGGTAGTTCACGGGCACTGTTCTGTTTCCATCCCTGCTATAGAAGTGTTGTCTTCACTGGAGATGTTAGGAACAACTCTTGAGTCCAACAACAAACATCCAAGATGTTTGAACCTAATACTTAATGTTGTTTCTGCTCTACCTGAACTCTGTGGTTCTCTGGTAAAAGAGAATTTGCTGAAGAGAGAACGTGATATGTAACTATAAAAAAATGTAGATAATAGAGATAAAATGTTTATCCAGACTAGCATTTAATATACTTTTTAAATTATTATTTATTCATGAGAGACACAGAGAGGCAGAGACACAGGCAGAGAGAGAAGCAGGCTCCATGCAGGAAGCCCGATGTGGGACTCGATCCCAGGACCTCAGGATCACACCCTGAGCCAAAGGCAGACACTCAACCACTGATGATCCACCCAGACGTCCCCAGCATTTAACATATTTAATAACTATGTTGGTTGCTCAGAAATATTTTCTGACTGTATCTAACGGTATCCCTCAGCATAAACGATAAACTTTTCCATGAAATAGATTGTCATCCCTCCATTGGGACATTAACTCAAGTGAAGGAAAATTTTATTTTTATACACAAGAGTAATTTTGGAGTTGTGTTTTTCTTAATGAAACTTTTCTTCATGCCCTCCATAGAGCATCCATATAGTTTTTTGAAGCTTTGAAGATGCATCTTTCCAACTATTTCCTTCTTTTCTGTTTGGAATCTTCAGTTGGCTATTGATTTATATAAGCCACATCTCAATCTTGGTTTTGTAGTCCCACTGGTGATTTTCATGCTTATGATTTATTATGAATTTATTGTATGCATTTCTTGGAATCTACCTTAATTTCTGCGTAATCAGACAATATAACATATATAACATCTTCCCAAATCAACAAATAAATTTATCAGGAAAAGAAAATGTGGAGTTTCTGGAATTCATTATAACATGACATCTGATTTTCAAAGCTGCAAAATTTAACGTTTACTTCTGCTTTGATTTTTTTTTTTTTTAACTAAAGGGTATTACTGCCTTTCCTGTAAATGAAGATCTGATGGAATGGGGAGCCTATATTGAAGGTCTACAGAATACATTTTGGCATGGTCTGTATTTTCAAAACCAATTTACTTTTTAAAAGTCTTTTTTTTTAAGATTTTATTTATTTATGATAGACAGGGGGTGGGGGCAGAGACACAGGCAGAGAGAGAAGCAGGTTCCCTGCCGGGAGCTCGACATGGGACTCGATCCCGGGACTCCAGGATCACACCCTGGACTGAAAGCAGGTGCTAAACCACTGAGCCACCCAGGGATCCCCTTAAAAGTCTTTATACCATTATTAGCCTATCTTCTTTACATGTATAATAAGATTACGGTATATAAATTCTCTAGATTTCCAGAGGAATTCACGTTATTTTTTCATCATGTGGCTTAATTTCTTGCCACTTGTCAATATAGGAATTTTAGGTTTGAATTTTCCCTTATGCCAAATTTTAATGTCATTACACTTTTTAAGAAGCAGATGCAATAAAGCATATCATATGGGAATATCATGTAAGTCTTCCATGAAATCAAAGAATAGGTATAAAAATTTCTACTTGCATAAAAATCCCACCGTTATCTCTCATTTTTGTCCTTTATGATTTTTCCCAAAATTTTCATAAATCAAATTCTCAAGAAGACTGGGCCACTATAAACTTTAATGGCCATGCACTCTTTCTTTGTGGATTGACAAAATAGAGTTGTTGAGTGAAGTAGGGGAGAAAAGTGTCAGTGGCTAATTACAGTACATCTAATATGTGCTATTAATGGGTCTTGAATGCTGAGAAGAAAGTGGATTAGTTAATTTTGCCTTGGAAAGTCAGGAACCGGCTGGCTTCTCAAGGAAGTAACGTTTGAGTTGAGTCCTGAAGAACAGGTAAGAGTTTGTCAGATTTAGAAGGGAAAGGAAATTCAGTCTGAGTAAACAGCATGCAAAAGCTTATAAACAAGAGACGGTTCTGGAAGAGTGAGTTCAGCAAATAAGAGCAATACAGTGAAAGGGGCGGGTGTTCAGGGATGGAGTTAGTGGATGAAAAGGCCTGGTGGGAAACAGGCTGAAAATACAGATTAGACTGTGAGGAGTCTATGAAATTATCTAGAGGACTCTATGTACCCTGTGATCCAATTTACTTATTAATAAAACTCTCGGGACCTCAGAGGCTAAACTATAGAGACTAAACTATAGAGAGGCTAAACTTCAGGTTTCAGTTAATTGGTACAACATGATGCTTTAGTAAAAATGTTTGTTTCTTTATTATAGGATTATTCTTCCAACTGACAATAAATTTTACATCACAGTACAATTTTGTCCCTCCAGTTGTGAAATTCATAACAATTCCTTTTCATCCAAATGGTAAGGACCAAATGAGATTTTTATCATTGGGGTTCTGTCCCTATCCTTGTTCCTTATAAGTGTTTAATAATGTTTCTTTTTGGGGCACCTGGATGGCTGAGTTGGTTAAGCATCTGCCTTGGGCTCAGGTCATGATCCCAGGGTTCTGGGATTGAACCCTACTTGGGGCTCCCCGCTCAGTGGGAAGCCTGCTTCTCCCTCTCTCTCTCCCTCTGTTCCTCCCCACTCCATCTCTCAAATCAATAAAATCTTTAAGAAATGTTTCTTTTTAACAACCTTGTTATGGTTATATTAGTAAGCATGGTTATTGGGGAAAATATAAAAAGACAGAAAAAAATTATCACCTTGAATCCAAATTCAGAGAGCTGTTCCTTTTAACTTTTAAACAATTTTTTTTTACTATGTATGTATTTCTTTTGGATAGTTTAAGTACTACATGTGAAGTTTATAAAGTGACATGTTTATTTCTGCATTACTAAACATTCTTCAAAAGGTTATTTTTAATGACTAAATGATAAATTTAACTATTTTTGTATTCAGTATTCTCATTGGCTCTGATTTATCCAATGATTAAAAAATGCACTGACAAATTAACATTAGAAAGAAATGAGTTAGGTTGCTATTGAAGTTATACACAAAATGAATTCCTGATGTATCAAAAAGTCTAAAAGTTTTAGATACTAAAAAGGTAGAAAATTGAATAGAATTTTTAATCAACTTGATGAGGAAGGCTTTTCTAAATATGATAAAACCTAGAAACTATGAAAAAAAGCATGACAACTACTAAACTTTTAAAAAGTTCTACAGCCAACAATATTATAAACAGACAAAATACATCGACTTTTTCAAACCAAGGGACAATATTTGCAACGTGTAAAATAGAATACTTACAACATGTAAAGAATGCTTAAGAATCAATAAAAAAATAAAGTGATAAAAAAGCAGGCAAAGGTTATAAACAAACATTTGATAGAAGAAACATAACAAAAATAAACATAAAGATATTCAGCCTCACTAGTAAGAAAATGAATGCATATTAAAACAATTATGATTCATCGTTTATGTTTGCAAAATGTTAAAAACTCTGACATAATGATAACCTTAGTGTGACCTTTTTGGGAAGCAGTTTGGCAGCTTCTAATCAGCAATAGCCCTAAATCCCTGTAATCCTGTGTTTATAAATTATTCCATAGATAAACTAGCACAGTGTGGAAGAGTATGTTTCATATTTAAAGATGCTTGTTCCCAGTAAAAATTTTGAAAATAGGGAAAAGGGAAATAATCTCAGTGTCCATTAATATAGGAATTTTTAAGTAAAATATCTTAACAGCTATATACATAACAAGGTGGATATATAAAGCTAGACTTTTTGGTCACTGCTGTATTCCTAGAATATTCACTACCTGGCATAGAGCTGGTGCTCCAGTGTTTTTTCATAAATATGTCTATAAAAATGCTGATGTTTATTGTTAGATGAAAAAAACTTCAGAGAATATGTAAGATATAATTCCATTTAATAAAAAATAAAAACAATACAGTTATACACATCTATATGTATATTTGTATAGACCAACTGGTAAATTTATTTTTTTTACAGATTTTATTTATTTATTTTGGAGAGAGAGAGAGTGCATGAATAGGGGGTAGGGGCAGAGGGGGAGTCTGATGCAAGGCTTGATCCCAAGGACCTGGGATCATGACCTGAGCTGAAACCAAGACTCAGATGCTTAACCGACGGAGCCACCTAGGCACCTCCAGGCCAACTGATAATAACTCACTCTAAAGAGTGGCATAATAGGCAAGGGAGGTTTCATATTTTACTTTATGTATATTTATATAATTTTTTTCCAAGTACATTATTAGTTTGTAACTAAAACTTATTTTGGGCGCACCTGGGTGGCTTAGTGGTTGAGCATCTGCCTTCTGCTCAGGGCATGATCCTGGGGTCCTGGGATCAAGTGCTGCATGAGGCTCCCCGCCGGGAGCCTACTTCTCCCTCTGCCTGTGTCTCTGCCTCTCTCTCTCTCTGTGTCTTTCATGAATAAGTAAATAAAAATCTTTAAAAAAAAAAACACTTAGGGATCCCTGGGTGGCGCAGCGATTTGGCGCCTGCCTTTGGCCCAGGGCGCGATCCTGGAGACCCGGGATCGAATCCCACGTCGGGCTCCCGGTGCATGGAGCCTGCTTCTCCCTCTGCCTGTGTCTCTGCCTCTCTCTCTCTCTCTCTCTCTCTGTGACTATCATAAATAAATAAAAAAAAAATAAAAAAAAATTTAAAAAAAAAAAAAAAAAAAAAACACTTATTTTTAAGGGATAAAATTAAATTAATGGTACACAATTTACTGTGTACATTTGCTATTACTTGCTTAACATAAACACCTGTGGAGTTACCAGTTAAATGTAGTGAGAGGTCAGTGCTCTCATCCCTGAGTCCATTTCCACAGAGTACAGAGAACCTCTGTCTCTAGAAGGGAAAGTACAGAAAACCTGTGATTTTTCTTCTTTCCCTCCCCCAGTCCTTGAGTGACTTACTTGTTGGGGAAATAGGAGAAAAAAGTGAACATTTGTGGCTCAGCACTTTCTTTCCTACCAGTCTTCCCTTAGAATGGGTGCCCTCTCTCTTTCTCCAGGCAGGACACAGGTAGGCCATCAGTTTGGGTATTTAGTTCAAAGCGGTGGGGGGGAGCTCAATGAAGGCCACAGATCACATGCATTTTCCAATTCAGTGTTACCTACAGTAAAGGTGATATTTTTTTACTTCCATCTTTCAACACTTAGGTCTGTCTCCTTATCCATAAGCTTGAGAGAAGGGGAGTATTATTTATTAGCCCCCAAACTGCAAAGGATGGCTCTATATAGTTCTCTTTAGAGGCCTAAAGCCAAGTTCCCTTTTGGGATGTTTTTTACACTTCTACCAGTCACTGTGTCTAAAGTCCTCATTTTAGCACTCCAAATTTGAGCATTGAAACTTCAAAGACATTTTTTTTGCCAATTTGATAAGAATCTCAATGTTAATTTTAACAAGCTCATCTTTGAATACTTGTGAGTTAAACATTTTTTCATGTCGCAGGGAGCTCGATGTGGGACTCAATCCCAGGCCTCCAGGATCAGGCCCTGGACCGAAGGCGGCGCTAAACCCCTGAGCCACCCAGGCTGCCCTTGCAGTTACCTTTAAACTTAGATGATTGTTTCCCCCAAACACAATCAAATCATCATTTTAATATTCTTTTAGTTATTACATAGTCTTATTTTTCCCATTTAACTCCATTAAAAAAAATACTGATTTAATTAATTGTGTTAGGGCATAGGCCAAGCTTCTATGTATCTTTCTGCTCTGTGTATAATAGAACAAAGCTGGCAGGGAGGTTTCACCATCCTCAATGTGCAGGTATCATTTTTGGATGTAAGACTATTTCTCTGTGGCCATTTCCAGCCAGTGGGAAGAGGAAAAGACAAGGCAAAACAGCTTCCTTCAGGAAGTATGATCTAGAAATTGCACACTTTCCTTCCGCTGAAATCCCATGATTACAACATAGTTACATAGCCACATCTTGCTGGAGGAAAGGCTGGGGAAAATGTGGGCAACCACGTATTTATCTAAAACCACAGGGATGGAGACTGGGGGTGAGGGTGGGGGCAGGCATAGTGCTCCTTATTCCAGAAGAGATGGAAGAAAGGAAGCCTAACCTGAGGACAATGAGTAGTTTGCACAGCACTTGTTGTTTTTAAAGATTTTATTTTTCCATTCATGAGAAACAGAGAGAGAGAGAGGCAGAGACATAGGCAGAGGGAGAAGCAGGCTCCCTGTGGGGAGCCCGATGAAGGACTTGATCCCAGGACCCTGGGATCACACCCTGAGCCAAAGGCAGATGCTCTACCACTTACTTAAACCACCCAGGTGCCCTCACAGCACTTGTTAATGACATTTGTTGATACTCTTCTTTTGCTGCTGAGTCATCATTGCACTTTTAACATACAACAATTTTATTTTATTTTATTTTATTTTATTTTATTTTATTTTTTTAACAGACAACAGTTTTAATACATGCCAGGATTTTTCTTTTTCTTTTCTCTTTTTTTTTTTTTTGGCCAGGATTTGTTTCTAAAGGCTCTTACCACATTGTTTAATCTCATGTCCCACGCTGCAGTTATCATTATTGTAGTTTTACAGTAGTGTCAAATCCAACACCTCTCTTTTCACCTTCTCAAAATTTTCTTTTTAGTTCTTAACTTTTTATTGCAAGATTTTCCTATTAGAGTAGAAATGTGGGATGCCTGAGTGGCTCAGCGATTGAGCACCTACCTTTGGCTCAGGACGTGATCCTGGAGTTCCGGGATCAAGTCACACATCAGACTTCTGCATGGAGCCTGCTTCTCCTCCCTCTGCCTGTGTCTTTGCCGCTCTCATGAATAAATAAATAAAAACTTTAAAAATATAGCAGAAATGTTTCCCTTATTCATTTGCTGAAGTTTTTTTATATATCAATAAGACAGTTATTAAAATGATACCTATCACTTGGGGGGAAGTTGCTACACATCAGGTACTCTATTAAATATTTTTAAGTTCTTTTCAGTGACATAAGGTACTTTCATCATATCCCCATTTCACATATTAGGAAAGTTAGACCTAGAGAAGTGAAGTTAAATTGCTCAACATTGCAGAGCTGACAAGTCAGGGAGTCAACATTCGGATCTCTGTGTATCTTATACCAAAGCCCATGCTTTTAATAGCTACACTGTATCAGCTATCCGTCATCTTCACTGAAAATACTTTTCTGCTTTGTCTTTTGCTTTCTGATTTTGCCTATGATATTTTGATGTTAATAAATCTTAAATAATTTTATGACATGTGTCAATATTCATGTGTTATTTTAATGCAGTAGATCAAAATACTGGTCGAGTCTGTATAGATTTTTTGGATGACCCTGAAAAGTGGAATACAAACTATACATTGAGCAGCATCTTACTTACTCTCCAGGTAAGAAGAGATTAATATAACACTCTTTAATTCTGTCAATTATCCCAGTTACTCAAAATATAAGGAATAAGATGTGCAATGAATATTTAAATGTTTGAAGGATTTGATTTTTTTGTTTGTTTGAAGGATTTGAATAAGCTTTTTTAAATCAATAGAATTTTTATACCAAGGCTATAAAGTGTAACTTAGAAAGATTATTATTTTAAAGTGAAATTGATAGTTAAGGCCCTTTACAATGAAAGAATACATATTTTATTTTAAAAAAGAACTGGATAGGGGCAGCCCAGGTGGCTCAGTGGTTTAGCGCCACCTTCAGCTCAGGGCATGATCCTGGAGACAGACTGGAGACTCAGGATGGAGTCCCATGTCAGGCTCCCTGCATGGAGCCTGCTTCTCACTCTGCCTGTGTCTCTGTCTCTCTGTCTCTCTGTCTCTCTCTCTCTCTCTCTGTCTCTCATAAATAAATAAAATCTTTGGGGAAAAAAAAAGAACTGGATGGTTTCAATTTTAGAAATATAGTCTTAAGTTTTCTTTTGGCTTCTAACTTCATAATATCGGAAATGGATCTTTCCTCATTCATGAGTGTTGCCTTCCTCAGAAAGGTGAATCAGATAGCTACAATTTAAAATGTTCAGCTTTATCCTTTGCTACTTGCTATTTTGTAAACTTTCATATCAAACCCAGTGAACAATTAAAGCAGGGATTGTGTCTTCCTCTCAGATTGATACCTGTCTCTGGAATGCTCCTTTGCCCCCTGGATTCACACATTGTCCTTAGAAGCATGCCTCAGTGTTGTGTTATTTCTGACCCTCAATGAACCTCCTTTCTCATCTGGTCCTAAAATAAATTATTTTAATAGCACTTGCTTTGACCACCTATAATCCAGCTCAGTAATGTTTCCATGTACCTACTCATTAATATTATCTGAAGATAATCTATTAAATTTTGATTATCTAGAATACTAACGTATTCTGGCTTAACTGAATTCTCTCAAACACATAGAATTATAATACAAATCCCATTTTTTTATTTCTGAAAAAAAATTTTCTGTCTAGTCATCTTAGTGCACCGAGGAAAGCAGTCTTTTTTAAAGATTAAGTGTTCAGATGTATTCACTCATTCACTCTGCAAATATGTGCTGAGTACCTACATGTGCTAGGCCATGTTTGGGAAGAGACATTTGAGCAAAATCTAAAGTAAGTGAACATAATTTGCAAATATCTGGGGTTGATCTTTTGGATTCCTTCAACTTGAGTCCTATTTCTGTCTATTCCACCTGAATTAGAATCTGCCTTAAGAATAGTAAAACTGAAGGTTCCTGGTAGCTTAGTCAATTAAGTATCTGGCTCTATTCCAGCTCAGGTCATGATCTCAGGGTTGTGAGATCAAGCCTCAAGTCAGGCTCCGCACTGGGCATGGAGCCTGCTTGAGATTCTCTCTCTCCCTTTGCCCCTCCTTCCCTCTCTAAAATGCATAAATAAATCTCTTTTTTTTTAACTTTTTTTTTTTAAGATTTTACCTATTTATTCATGAGAGAGACAGAGACACAGAGGGAGAAGCAGGCCCCATGCAGGAAGCCCGACATGCGACCCAACCCCAGGACTCCAGGATCACGCCCTGAGCCAAAGGCAGACGCTTAACTGCTGAGCCACCCAGGCGTCCCACATAAATAAATCTTAAAACAAAAATAATAGTAAGACGTTGTTTCACAGCTCTGTGCTCAGCAGGGAGCCTGCTTAGACTTTTCTCTCTTCTTCCTTCTCGCTTTCCCCTCCCCACCCTTGTGCACTGGTTCTCTCTCTCTCTCTCTCTCTAATTAAAAAAAAAAATAGGAAAAGAAAATCACTGAAAGTTATAAAGAAAAACCCCAACCCTAATGTGATTAGCATTTCCCGCTAATATTTTCTCCCATATTTTTGTGTAATCTTTCAGTTGCCCATTCACTGCAAGGTTAATGTCAGTTCTATTTCCTGACGCTTGGGCTTCGGACTTTCCCTAACAGCACAGTGCAGCCCCATTCCTATTATATCTTCATGCTTTTCTTCACTCACAGTGCTTGGTTCAATCCAGGTTAAAAACAGTATTTATAGAGTTCTCAATTCTAAAGTTACAAACCCAAGCAAGTCTTGCACCTTAAAAAGTGCTCAGTCCAGTTTCTGACTGGCAACTCATTTTCTCCTTCCCTTTTGCTCAATCTATCCGGGAAGCAGCTGCCTACATTGGAAGAATCAGGGCCAATGAGTCCTCCACTGGGATGCCTTTCCGGACTTTCTTCAGAAGTAGAATTGATGGCTTTGGTATTTGAGGGATTTCTTTTGTCTCCCACCCATTGCGTGGTACTCGAAGGAAATTTCTATCAGAGGGCTATAATACTGTAACACACATACTGTTTTCTTATCTGTCTTCCCCTATTGGATTACAAGCTTCCCTTACTGGACTACAAACTCCTTGAGGTCAGGAAGCAGGTCCAGTTCATCTCCAATACCCAGGACAATGCTGACAGTAAATGCTAAATAACATTAATGAAAAAATGAACCTGAATTTTTTTTACTTTGTTCCAATTATGGTTTATATGTATAAGTTATTTAACCTATTTTTCACTGACCATTTTATCTCAAGTAATTTTCTTATTGTTGAATCTAATATTTTAATGGCTAATAGCCCTCTCAAGGCCAGTGCTTCCCAGTAGAACTTTCTGTGCTGACAGAAATATCCAATATCTATGCTGTCCAATACAGTAGGCACTAGTCACTTGATTATTGTGCCCTTGAAATGTTGCTAGTGTAACTGAGGAGAACTGTTTTTTTCATTTATTTTGTTTAATTTCAATTTAAATAGCCACATATGGCTGGTGCCCACTGTAATGGACAGTACACGAATAAACCATAATTTCTGAGTACTTCCCTTTGAATAATAGATGAAACATAGGGACGCCTGGGTGGCTCAGCAGTTGAGCATTTGCCTTTGGCTCAGGGCATGATCCTGGTCTCAGGATCAACTCCCACATGGGGCTCCCTGTGAGGAGCCTGCTTCTCCCTCTGCCTGTGTCTCTGCCTCTCTCTGTGTCTCTCAGGAATAAAGAAACAAAATCTTAAAAAAGAAAATAGATGAGATTATGTATAATGATCACATTTTTTTCAGGGGAGTGACTTTTTGAAATGGTGTGTAAAAAATTTAAAGTCTAAATATACTAATCATCTCCTAAAACTTTTATAATCATACAGAAGATTATAAGAACACTTGTACTTAATGCAAAGATAAATAGCAACACCATCCATAAAAGGAATTCCAAATTCACAGGCCTTAACTAATTGGAAATTATAAATAGTACCTATTGTTGCCATTGTTTACTAATGCTCCAGTTTTTTTGTACTTTTCCTCTGGAAAGCTGCTTTGTTGTTCCACACTATCACATGACATGGCTCATTTAAAAGTTGGACCTGGGACACCTGAGTGGCTCAGCGGTTTAGCGCCACCTGCAGCCCAGGGCGTGATCCTGGAGTCCCTGGATTGAGTCTTGCATTGGGCTCCCTGCATGGAGCCTGCTTCTCCCTCAGCCTGTGTCTCTGCCTCTCTCTCTCTCTCTGTCTCTCATGAATAAATAAGTAAAATATTAAAAAATAAAAGTTAGACCTTTTCTTTTTACTATTTTAGCAGGGTGTCTGACTCATACATTTTAATATATTCCAGTTATTAAAAATCATTAAGTATACTTAGTAGCTTGTGTACACATAATATCAAAAGGTCTTAGGCACAGTGTCAATGTGAAGACTATTGAATAAACTTTACCAGATGTGCCTCTCTGAGTAGGATTATCACTCCAACTAAAGACCAAAAACTTGTTCTTGAAGATAGATTTCATCTGCTTCCTACCCACTTTGAAAGGTTTGGTATAATCCACACTGAATCCTTATTTAAGCAACTTAGAATACTCTTGGAGATATAGCTCAAATGTGTTTTCCAAACAGAAAACTCAAATAACAGCAGTAAATTCTTACTGCCTTTGAAATATCAGACAACAGATTATTGCTTTCATTAGTGATGAGTGTCATCATTTCCATGACACTTAAGTCACAGTTATCCATTTTGACCTTCATCTATGCTTAGGTGTGCTAGTAGTTATTATCTTGGCTGCATCTTATCTAATTTGCATATTGTAATATTCAGAATACTGAAATTATTGAATACATATTTGCAATTTGGGCAAATAATAATTTTGAGGTGCTAGATAAACAAGATCATGGTCTGGCCGAAAAGTTTTGGTTACTCCCGGACCCCTATTTAGTCTAGATGCACATATACTATAGCAGGCAGAATTTTAAAGATATTGCTCCAAGACTTCCATCCTCTGGTTATTCAATCTAATCTATTTACTGCTGTTAAAGGGCTTTGCAGATGGAATTGCAGTTACTAATCAGCTGACCTTAAAATAGGAAGGTTATCCTGAATTATAGAGGCGGACCCAAAGTAATTATGTGACCCCCTTAACAATAGGAGAGGAAAGCAGAAGAGTCAGTCAGAGAAATAGAGTGGGAGGAGAATGCATGTGGCAGGAGGAAACATCAGAGAGATTCCAAGCATAAGAAGGATTTTTCATACCTTAATTGCTGTGAGATGTTGGGGTCCAAATGTAACCTGCGAGAGACCTCTTGGAGCTAATAATGGCCCCAAGCTAATAGCCAGCAAGGAAACAGTGATCTCAGTCCTACAAAGAAAAGGGACTGAATTCAGCTAAAAACAACCTGAGCTTGGAAACGTTCTTTCAGAACCAGCTGACACTTTGATTTTAGTCTTGTTAAATCTGGAAAAGAGAAACCAGACTAACCACTTTAGACTTCCCGCCTACCAAAATGTGAAATAATAAATTTGTATTGTGTTAAGCTGCTAAATTTGTGCTAATTAGTTACAGCAGCAATAGAAAACTATAGATACCAAATTAATCATTCAATAATCTGGAGGGATGTTGAAGTATACATAGCCTTACTACATATATTTGTTTATCCATGACCTAAATAATATGTTTTATTAAAAATTACACTTATTTTTTTTTAAATTTTTTTTTTAAATTCTTATTCATTTATGATAGTCACACAGAATGAGAGAGAGAGAGAGGCAGAGACACAGGCAGAGGGAGAAGCAGGCTCCATGCACCGGGAGCCCGACGTGGGATTCGATCCTGGGTCTCCAGGATCGCGCCCTGGGCCAAAGACAGGCACTAAACCACTGCGCCACCCAGGGATCCCTACACTTATTTTTTTAACGGAAATGTTTCAGTGTTGCCTAATGTCTAGTTTCCTTTATATGTAAATCAAATTTAAATTCATGTGATAAAAAAGAATAGGCTAGAGGAAGGAACTTGTAGCTTGCTTTGATCCTAATGTTTGTCTTTTGAATATACAACAGTATAAAGCCAAGATAGAAAAAAATTTAAAAAATAAATAAAAAATAAAACCAAGATAGACCAAGAGTTCCCTGAGAGTAAGAGCCATGTCTCATTTGTCTTTGTATCTGTCTCCAGATGAATACAGAGTAGGCATGTAATAAACACTTGTTACTGTTGATGTGTTGGCTTGTCTTTTTGCTCTAGCAAAAGAGTTTAAGAATGTTTATATTTTTTCTTATAGGTTATGCTTTCTAATCCAGTTCTAGAAAATCCAGTGAATTTGGAAGCAGCCCGAATGCTGATTAAAGATGAATCTCTGTACAAACAAATAGTTCTAAGACTTTTCAGCCAACCAATACAATGTAAGAAGTGCCTACTTATTGTTTTTGCCAATTATTAATTATGCATTTATAGTAAATAAATGATATAGCAAATAACTGTTATATAAAGTATTTTCTGTATCCATTTTCAGTAATGAAATCATCCTAAGATTTCTCCTACTGTACCTGTTTGTCAAGCCAATCAGTTATCAAAAAAAAAAAATTAAAAAGTGGTTCTTTAGAGATTATCAGCAATCATAAGCTTAGTAGTTTTATAAATCTTTTTTTTTTTATTTTTATTTATTTATGATAGTCACACACAGAGAGAGAGAGAGGCAGAGACACAGGCAGAGGGAGAAGCAGGCTCCATGCACCGGGAGCCCGACGTGGGATTCGATCCCGGGTCTCCAGGATCGCGCCCTGGGCCAAAGACCGGCGCTAAACCACTGCGCCACCCAGGGATCCCAGCTTAGTAGTTTTAAATGTTCTAGTCATATGGATGGATGGTACTGACTAAAACTTATTTACCCATCATAAAGATATGACATCTGATTTTAACTCTTTGTTCTATGATAGATATTTCCCAGATTTCACCTGCAGTACCCCAGATCTTACTGAACTGAGACTCCTTTCCTCTTGATTAGCAAAGTGTTCAGCTTTTTGTTTGGAAGAGATCACCCCTGAAGGTATTCCTTCTAAGAGTCCATGTGGAAATGATACCTGAGGCTCTTCAATCTTTCTGCTTTCTTGACTGGTGGTGGTGGAGTAGTTTTTTGATACCCTAGTTTTACCTCTTCATGATTTAACCCAGCATTTCTACTGCTTCTGTGTTCTCTTTGTAGTTAGCAGAATAATACTGTTGGCTCCTTATGCCAGAGGAGTTCATCACAAATGAGGATTGGGCCCCCAGTGACATAGTTCTTTCCTCTATATCCTGCCCAGCTGTGCACAGCAGCCAGGCATAGCGGCTGCTGTCATTATCTCCCTAATAGCAAGCCTTGCTGTTCAGACTCATTCTGCCAAAGGGATCCCTCACATGCTTTTTCTTTCAGATGTCCCCTGTTTCTTTTTCCAGTCCCCTTCCAGGGTCTGCCAGTCCATTAGCTGGGTCTGTACAATTGTGAGGAAGTTCAAGTGCTCCTCCACGGCACTTTGAGTCTGGTGCAAATCAAGCAATGTCGATTAGGCATCCATTTTGGTGCCTTCAAACATTTCATGATTGTTGTGGAGTCCCTCAAACATTCCCTGAGTTTTGAAGCTGGTTAGTACACAGAGGAATCCTATTGCATCACTCTGACCACATTTCTGACCTACCAGAATACTGTAGCATCTACTACTATATCCTTTCTGTTCAGTTACAATGAACAGAATGTGCAATGAATGAATGACAATTTATATTACTTAACCTTCCATTGAGCTCTGTGGTACTACCATTTTAAAGAAATATTCTGTAATAAAAGTATATCCAAAAACAAAAACAAAAACAAAACAAAACTATATCCATAGCCTGGTAAATGGAAATTTAAAAACTGGTTTTAAAGGCTTTTCTATGGCAAATGATTCTGTGAAACAAATTTTGGGTGTGCCTTGCCAAAAAGAATGATGAGAAAGAAACTGGAGAGAAGTCAGCCCTTCCTTTTGTCCACCTGCCCACTAGATGCCATCCTTCACTCCTTTTGCTTCTCCAGCTCTACCATCAATCCAGACAGAAAAGCTTCCCCAGTTGCCAAATCACCCTGCTGATGAGCAACAGCAAATAGTACTTTGGCAGGTTTTCACTATATTCTTTAGTTATGTTGGTGAAATATGTGGAAATCCAAGACAGTAAATAGTTATAAGTTTGCTTGCCATCTCAGCCAGACTAGGAGTGGTAGCCTTGGGTACCATGAAGAGAGTGACTTCCTGTAGCTTCCAAGGGAAAGAGTGTCCATGATATAGCAGAGACATCTGCTAAGGGGCAAGGAGTGGGAAAGAAGTTGCAGAAAACTCATTCACCCTAAATTATATGGTAGTCTAGAACTATGTGGATGTCTGTGAAAAACTGCATCCAGTGAGAATTACTTGTAACTACTTGAAAAGTGTCACTAGAATGCTGCAAGAATCATCTTTCATCTATTTCAAATGTTAATAAAGAGGTCTAGAAAAAGCATAAAGGGAATTGCCACATTTCTAAGTAACACAAAACTGGAACAGATAGTTTATTGTATAAGTGAGAAACTCAAGGCCCAGCGAATGGTGTCATCTCTGTAGGTGTTGATTATAGGCCAGAACTATAACCTCAGTATCCAGTGTAGGCTCTGGTTGTAGGTATTGAATAAAAATTTGTAGAATGAACAAATGAAAAAATACGTGTAAACTTAGATCTTGATTTTACTTCATAGTTTACAGAATGCTTTTACATATATTTATTCATCTGATCCTCAGACTCTTCCTCAGTAGGAGCTGAGGATCATTGATGAAGTGGTTGGCTCAAGGCCGCAGAGAGCAAGCTGCAGAGCCAGAGCTTTAAACTAGGCATTCCCCTTCCCTTGTGCCTACAAATTTAATGGAATGAGCATAAAGTCATTCACTTGGAATCAAAGGATTAAAATTTCCAAGTAAAGAATGGGAGAGGCCTGACTTGATAGCAGAACTCTATGAAAAAATTCTTGGGGAGCTATTTGATCATAAACTTAATGTGAACCACTAATAGGAAGTGCCTTTCCACTAGGCATGTGTTGTATGATAACTCCACTCCACTCTGATGTGGTGGGCCCTTGTCTGGAATACCAGCATGCTCAATTTGGAGCAGCACATTTACTGAGCTGAAGAAACTGTATATATTTAGCTGGTGGAAGAAATGACAAAAGGCAGTTGTAAAAGCTGTTTTAAAATATTTGAAAGACTTTCATATAGAAAACGGCAGTTTCTTCTTTGTTGTTTCAAAAAACTAAAGTAGCTACACTCAGCTCTACCTTCCCCAGGCCTACTAGATTGTAGCTGCTATAGTTCAGAATCTGCCGGCTTGGCCCTGCCTTGTACCAGAACATACCTTGACTATATTGGGGACTTTCCCCTCATAATCAGTGGTCTGGAATTAATTTTTTATCCTAAGCCTAAGCCTGGTATTTGGTATGCAGACATGCAAATGCCTCTCATTCCCCAAACCTTACATAACGTGTTGCTTGCCTAGCCTGAGCAGCTAGGTCTTGAACTTGGTGTAATTGACAAGAACATGTTAAGCTCTGAGCCCAGACGCAGCTCAAGGTAGGGGTCTCAAAGACATTCCCCAATCCTGCCCTCCTCTTTTGGACCTGGGCCCTCTCTCCTTTACTAATAGTGAGTCCCAGACTGCCTAGGATAGTCCTGGTATAATTATTTCTAGCATCCCCTTTGACTTTGTGCTCCGGTTTGCACAACAAATTGCATAGGCACTTGGATGCCTGACTGATCTCTCTTACCAGCAAATGCCAGGGAAGTTGTAAGCATCCCTGGCGGTAACGCCCATCTAGATCCTGGCTGGCAGGAGGGAGAACTTTCTAAAAATTCAAGTTGCTTAAGAATGGAAAAGGCTGCCATTACTAATAGCCTGCTTTGAGAACTAGTGTTCAGTTAGTAAAGTTTAAGAGCTCTTTTTTGTGGATCCTGTGAGAGAGCTTCTTACTCAGTGTTGAGAGTTGGACTAACAAAGGGGTTTTTCAAGTACTTTCCAACTTAGGCCTCAACTTGTTTATGAAAACTTGGAAGAGGGAGGAGAAGAGGTCTGGAAGGAGATAACGCATAACAGCTATCTTGCTTCCCAGCTTTTGTATTGCTACTTATTTACTAAAGTGTCACAAAGAGATATTATATAAGCCTGTATGTACTTTTTTTTCCCAAGCTGAGTGAATTTTTATTTCTATGTGGTTATATAGTCAAATAATACTTATCTTCTGTTTATCATGGTTTTTTAATATTTTTTAATTTTTTATTTATTTTATGATAGTCACAGAGAGAGAGAGAGAGAGAGGCAGAGACATAGGCAGAGGGAGAAGCAGGCTCCATGCACCAGGAGCCCGATGTGGGATTTGATCCCGGGTCTCCAGGATCACGCCCTGGGCCAAAGGCAGGTGCCAAACCGCTGCGCCACCCAGGGATCCCTATCATGGTTTTTTTTAAAAGCATCAAGTTTATATAATCTTTAAAAATCTTTGCTTGAAATAAAATAGAAGAGTATAAAAATAGTAAAACTCACTATCAGTGGTCACACCTGACATAATTTTTCTTTTCGCCAGGCATATTCCTGTAGCTTTTGCTAAGTAAAGGAGAGTCATACTAATAGGTTTCAGATATTTATCTGAATAAACTGTAATATAATAACTGCCAGGGATCCCTGGGTGGCGCAGCGGTTTGGCGCCTGCCTTTGGCCCAGGGCGCGATCCTGGAGACCCGGGATCGAATCCCACATCGGGCTCCTGGTGCATGGAGCCTGCTTCTCCCTCTGCCTGTGTCTCTGCCAGTCTCTCTCTCATTCTATGGGACTATCATAAATAAATAAAAATTAAAAAAAAATAACTGCCAGGTAATATGACAGTGATCATTAGAGAGGAATTATAGAAATATTAGGGAGATTATAATACTAATTTATATCCTACAGCTTTAAAAAAAACCTGGTCATTCTGCAAATCCATCCCATTCTTCTTGTGGTTAGGAAGATACTATGATAGGCATTTGATCCTTCTTCAGTTCATGCTCTGAATTAGTTCATTGACAGCTTTTTTTGTTTGTTTCATCCTCCTAACAGTAGAACAATTTTAAAGAAAATGGGTTCTGTGCTTAAAGTAGGTGATGTCTCATAGGACTTCTGGTTTGGTTTTTCTCTTTAGAGGGACTGTTTTTTACTGTTAGTTGCGGGAATACGCCTTCCTGGATGTCAGCAAAAAAGAAATTTAGTCCAATAGCATAGCTTACTCATTAAAGAACATGAGCTTTAGCACCATTGTACAGACCTAGTGTGGTTGTTGATGATTACGTTGTTGTTATAGATAGCCTGTTATTCATAGATGTCAGGAGATACAGCAACCAAGTTTAATAGGATGGTGTGTGTGGATCTCCTTGGCAAAATTAGAAACTTCTTTTTTTCTTGTTTGTATTTCATTGTACCAGGTAGTCCAGTAACTTTCAACAAAGTATCTAGTTGCTAGTTTTAACTAAAAAATTATTTATTTTCTATCAAAGAAATATGTTTATAGCTTCAAAAAATAAATTGTATGAATCATTTTTTCCCCAAATGAGTGGGGAATCAGCCCAGGGCCTGATCCTGGAGACCCGGGATCGAGTCCTACATCGGGCTCCCTGTGTTCAAGTTTTCTGTTTCTTCCTGCTACAGTTTTGGGAGGTAGAAATTTATCCATTTCTTCTAGGTTTTTGGCATATGAATTTTTATAATATTCTCCTATAAACCTTTGTATTTCTATGATGTCACTTGTTATTTTTCCTCTTCCATTTCTGATTTTTGAGTTCTCTCTCTCTCTCTCTCCCTTTTTTCTTTTTATGAGTCTGGCTAAAGTTTTAACAGTTTTGTTGATATTTTTAAAGAACCATCTCCTGATTTCATTGATTTGTTCTATTTTTTATTTTCTATTTTGTTTATTTATGTTCTAACCTTGATTATTTCCTTCCTTTTACTGGTTTTAAGTTTTGTTTGTTCTTATTCTAGCTCCTTTAGGTGTAAGGTTAGATTGAGATTTTTCTTGCTTCTTGAGGCCTGTATTCCTTTAAACTTCTTTCATTTTTTTTTTAAAGATTTTATTTATTTATTTGAGAGAGTGACAGAGCAAGCATGAACAAGGTGGTGGGGGATGGGCAGAGGGAGAGGGAAAAGCAGACTCTCCTCTGAGAAGGGAGCTGATGCGGGGCTTGATCCCAGGACCCTGGGATCATGACCTGAGCCAAAGGCAGATGCTTAACCACCTGAGCCACCCAGGTGCCCCTAAACTTCTTTCAAAGAACAACTTTTGCTGCAACCCAAAGATTTTAGACCATTGTATTTTTGTTTTCATCTGTCTCCCTGTATTTTTTTATATGCTTTTTGATTTCCTGGTCGACCCATTCATTGTTAGTAGCATGTATTTGTGTTCTTTCCAGAGTTTTTCTTGCAGGCGATCTATAGTTTCATAGTGTTGTGGTTGGAAAAGATGTGCAGTGTGATTTCAGTCTTTCCGAATTGGTTGAGACTTGTTTTGTGGCCTAACGTGATCTAAAGAATGTTCTGTGTGCCCTTGAAAAGAATGTGTATTCTGCTGTTTCAGGATAGAAAGCTGTGAATATGTCTGTTAGACCATCTGATCCAATGTATCCTTCAAAGCCACTGTTTCCTTATTGATTATATGTTTGGATAATCTATCCAATGACATGAGTGGGGTGTTAAAGTCCCCTGCTATTACTGTATTTCTGTCAATTTCTTCTTTTATGCTTATTATTAACTGCTTTATGAATTTGGGTGCATAAATATTTACAATTGTTATTTTTTTATTTTTTTTTAATTTATTTATTTATGATAGTCACAGAGAGAGAGAGAGAGAGAGAGGCAGAGACATAGGCAGAGGGAGAAGCAGGCTTCATGCACCGGGAACCCGATATGGGATTCAATCCCGGGTCTCCAGGATCGCGCCCTGAGCCAAAGGCAGGCGCCAAACCGCTGCGCCTCCCAGGGATCCCCAATTGTTATATTTTCTTGTTGGATTGTTCCCTTTTTGATTGTATAGTGTCCCTCTTTGTCTTTGTTACAGTCTTGGTTTAAAATCTATTTTGTCCAATATTTGTATTGCTATGCCAGCTTTTTTTTAACTTCCATTTGCATGATAAATGCTTTCCCATCCCTTCACTTTCAATATGCATGTGTCTTTAGGTCTGAAATGAGTCTTTTTGAGGCAGCATATAGATGGGTCTTACTCCTTTATCCATTCTGTTATCTTGTGTCTTTTGATTGGAGTGTTTAGTCCATTTACATTCAAATTAACTATTGATAGGTTAGTACTTTGCATATGCATTACTGGTTTTTGATTTGTGGTTACCATTAGGTTTATATATAGCATCATATGCATGTAACAGTTTATATGAAGTTGATGGTCACTTAGGTTTGAACTCATTGATTACTCCTCTCCCCCTGTTTTAGGTATATTATGTTATACTGTACATACTTTTAATTTGTGAATCTGTTGACTGATTTTTATAGATATATTAATTGTACTGCTTTTGTGCTTCCTACTTTTCTTACTCATGTTTATAGTCTTTCTATTCCACTGAAAGACACTTTTAACACTTCTTGTAGGACTGGTTTAGTGGTGATGAATTCCTTTAACTTTTGTTGGTCTGGAAAACTCTATCTCTCCTTCTTTTCAGAATGATAGCCTTGCTGGATAGAGTATTCTTGAGTGCAGGGTTTTTTTCTTTCAGCATTTTGAATATATCATGCCACTCTCTGGCCTGCAAAGTTTTCGCTGAAAAATCAGCTGGTAGCCTTACAAGGTTTCTCTTGTATGTAACTGTTTTTCTTTTCTCTTGTTGCTTTAAAAATAATCTTTTTCACTACTTTTTACCATTTTAATTATTATGTATCTCTATGTGGACATCCTTGGGTTGATTTTCTTGGGGACTCTCTGTGCCTCCTGAATTTGGATTTCTGTTTCCTTCCCCAGATTTGGGAAGTTTTCAGTTATTATTTCTTCAAATAAATTTTCTACGCCCCCTCTCTCTCTTCTCCTGGGATCCCTATTATGCAAATGTTATTATGCTTGATAGTGTTACTGAGTTCCCTTAGTTTATTTCATTTTTTATTTTTTCTCTCTCCTATTCAGCTTGATTCCTTTCTATTACTCTGTTTTCCAGGGCACTGATCCATTTTTTTGCTTCCTCTAGACTGCTCTTTATTCCATTTAGTGTATTTTTAATTTTAGTTATTGAGTTCTTCATTTCTGATTGGTTCTTTTTTATGTTTTTCCATATCTTTTTTGAGGGTCTCCTTGAGGTCCTCCATTCTTTTATAAAATACAGTGAATATCTTTGTGACCATTACTTTAAATTCTCTATCAGACATATTACTTATTTCCATTTTGTTTAGCTCTCTTGCTATGATTTTGCCCTTTTCTTTCATTTGAGACATATTCCTCTGTCTCTTCATTTTGTCTAACTCTGTGTCTGTGTCTTTGTGTTAGGAAGGTCAGTAATGTCTCCTTCTATTGGAAGCAGTGACATATAAAGAAGTCCTGTAGTGCCCTACTGCGCATGTCTCCTGTTCACCAGAACCTGGTTATTCAGGGTTGCCTCCTGTGTGTGTTGTACATGCACCACTATTGTAGATGACCTGTTTTTGCCTTCAGCCATCTTAGTGGCTCTCTTTTCCTGTCAGAAACAGGCTTTTTGTCCCTGTGTTGCTAGTGGATTGGTCTAGGGCCATTTCAGGCTTGAGTTGAGTCAGACCAGGTGTTTGCCAGAGATGCAGTAGAATCAAACTGTAGGGCACTTTCCAAGTGTTGTTTCCTGCATTGTTTCTTAAGTTCTGAAGTGTAAATCTGCGTGCTTTTTATTGGTGTCCCTCATCATGTCATTAGGTTTCAAATTTCTGGCTAAGACAATTACCACTTGACATCTTTTATCTTGAAAAAAATTGTTTAAGAAGATTTATTTATTTTAGAGAGAAAGAGGATGTGTGAACAGAGGAAGGGGCAGAGGAAGAGGGAAAGGGAAAGAAGCAGACTTCCTGCTGAGTGTGGAGCCCAACACAGGGCTCCACACAGAACTAGATGGAGAGCTCATCACTGGGCTTGATCTCATGACCTGAGATCATGATCTGAGTTGAAATCACAAGTTGGATGCTTAACTGACTGAGCCATCCAGGCACCTCTCACTGTGAAACTTTTTCTTACCTATTTTTCTTTTCCTCTTCTTGAGGTTTTATACTTTATTTTTATTCTTTTATTACCATTTTATTGAGACTTTGGAAAGAGTTTACATAAAGCTATGTATTCATTCTTCCAAGTCAACCAGAATCCTTTCATATTTTTCTTTACAGTGAGAGAGAACAGCCTTGAGTTTCCTAAAGATCCAGATAAACTTACCACGTAAGTTTATACAGTTCCATGTCAATTTCTTTCTTTCTCTCTCTTGCTGTCTTTCTTTCTGTCTTTTTTCTTTCTTTCTCTTTCATCTCTACACCCAACATGGGGCTCAAACTTACGAGCCTACGGATTAAACCCCTACAACTCTCTGGATATTTAGTTGTGTAATATCATGATTAAGAGTACAGGCTCTGGAATCATATGGCCTGTGTTAAAATTCTCAGGTACTGGGCAGCCTGGGTGGCTCAGCGGTTTAGCACCGCCTTCAGCCCAGGGAGTGATCCTGGAGACCCAGGATCGAGTCCCACATCGGGCTCCCTGCATGGAGCCTGCTTCTCCCTCTCCCTGTGTCTCTGCCTCTCTCTTTCTCTCTGTGTCTCTCATGAATAAATAAATAAAATCTTTAAAAAATAAAAATAAAATAAAATTCTCAGGTACCACTACTTATTAGCTATGTGACTCTGGGCAGATAACTATTTCACTCCTGTTTCTAGCAATATTTTAAACTTTTCATTATGGTATTAGTTATGATGATCTGTGATCAGTGTTGCTTCCATGAACTAGCACTACCCCATCTCTCTTCTTCCCTTAATGAATGTTCTTGTTTCCTTCACTGGCTCTTCTTAACTCTTAATTGGTTTCTGATCTTTCTTTTCTAAACACTTACTTACTCTTTCTGCGTTTGTTTTCCCTAATGGCATCATCTATCAACCTTTATGTTGATTTGACCCAAATCTCTTACTTCCAGTCTCAATTTCTCAGTCACACTCCTAAAGGTCATCACCTAAAACCCATGTTTAAATTTAAACTCATATTTTACTTCAGAATCTCTAGATGCTTTCTGTTAATAGCAAAATTAAATGGTCTTCTGGGCTTAGAAGAATATTTGACCTGTAGATTCCTTCACCTTTCACACCCTATCAGAAAACCAGCCCAGTCATTTCATTAGCATGTCAGAGATTCATCTCCTCCCCTTCATAGTCTCTGCTCCCACCCTCTCTTAGCTCTGCATTTCTTGCCTGAATTACTGCATCTCTTTCCTAACTTGTCTCCCTGAATTTAATCTCTCATATAATCTACTCCGCATACTAATGCCAGAAAAAACTCTTACTCACACACTCGGTTCATAATTTACTTGCCTTATTCAAGAACTTCTGATTACTCTCTATCACCTAATAAATCAGATTACTGAGTCAACTCTAGCCCATTCTCTGCCTAAATCTGAAGACCTGAGTTGCCCATTTTCAGTTATTTTATCAAATTCTAATTCCTCTGAAATTGGAACTCTCCACTCTAGTCAATGATCTTGTTACTGTTGTCTCATCCCCCAACATGCTCTATCTGTGGAAGTGCACACACCATGCTCCTTCTCTTCTGAGCCATTACTAGTACTGTTCTCCTTGCCTGAAATGCCTCCCCCAACTGTTCCAGGTCCATATCCCAAGTGACTCCTTCCCTAAAGACTCCCAAGACAAAGTTACATCTCTCTCTTCCAACCTTTTTAGCTTAGTACCACTGCCAAAGAAGTATCTGTCATTGTCATTTCTAAATGTCTGTGTTAAATGATGAAACAGTTTATATATTAATATATAAAGTTATTCTATTAGCCAATTTAGGTATATATCTTATTTTCCCAATAGGATAATAAGCTCTGATACTCAGTTTTAAATTACGTCTTCTACTTTTTCATATTCATAATGCCAATGATAATACTCAATAAATTCCTGTTAATGTTTCAAATTATAAACACATGTGTTTTTCATACTTCCCTGTAAACTTAGTAGCCTATATGAATAATCATAACAAGTGTTCATGTTCTCTTATTTTAAGGCACTGTTTCTTTTACAGAATTGAAAATGCAATATTCTCAAATGTTTAAGACCTTCTGCTTTGTATATTCAAACTATACCAAAGTTATACCTTTTAGGGTAATATTTTTAATTATTCTGGGGAAGAAAAGAAAGCCCCTGAAGGCTAACAGTTTGAAATTGAACAGGACACTGCTGGGAAGGGAGAGGGTCAGGGGTCGTCTCGTCAAACAGACAAAAAAAAACAATGGAGACGATTGTGCTTAAAGACGGTGTATTTTCTTTCACAAGACAGTGTGTTGACAGTTTCCTTCCTCTTGGGTCATTGTTGTCTGCTAAATGATCTGTGACAGCAAATTGATCACAAGCTTTTTCATGCAGGAGATATAATGCAGCCTTTCATTTTGTTACCTCTTTTGCCAAATGCTGAAACATTTCGTTGGCAAAATTAATGTTGGTTTAATATGTCATTTAGTGGTGTAAAGCTCCGCAGGTAGCTCTGGAAACAATAATGGCAGTGATTAATTTATCTTTATCCAGTTTTAGATTTCTACTAAAGTGTGATTGCAAAAACAATAATATATTTGAAAAATGTTACTCTTAAAATTAGATATCTGTAATTATCACTTAAGTAAATGATGCAGTAAAGAATTTAGATATTGTCCCATGAATTTCCAAATCAAGGCCAATATTTACTTTAAAGTACCTACAATTCACCTATAAAAATTAATGCTGGTGTACTTGTTCTGACCGAAAAGTTGCTTCTTCCTTCAGAGAGCTGAGGACTTCAAATTCAAAACGGACATAAATTAGTTCTTTTACATCTGATGTTTCTGCATCTATTTAAGCCAGCTAATTGGTGATTTCACATGTCTGAAGAACATCCCAAAGGAATATTTTGTTTGTAGAGTGTTGAGAATCTCTGCAAGTAAAATATTTGCGGGGAGAAAAAATTAGAAGTGAACTTACTTAAGTGTTTCACAAATCCTGTTCAATATGTTATAACAACCTTTGCTCTCCCATTAGGCTAAAGTAATATTAGCACAGGGAAGGAAACATGCCGGCAGGACTGTTAGAAAAGTGAGTTTTTCTCCCTCTGTGAAAATGGCCAGATTCTGTATGAAAATTAACTGATCTCAATTCTGGTGTTTTATTTCTCCTCATAATAAAAAGGAAACAAAGGTAGCTTTACTAAAATTTGGCATCAATATTTAAGAAAACTTTATTGTAGAAAGAGAAAATATGCAAGTGTGATGCTTTTCTTAAAATTCTTTTTTAGTGTTAGTCGTGAAAGGCAGATATCTTAAACTTGTGTTTTTCTTTTTAAAATGAACACATGGGGATGCTTGGGTGGCTCAGCAGTTGAGCATCTGCCTTCGGCTCAGGGCATGATCCTGAGTCCTGGGATCGAGTCCCACATCGTGTTCCCTGCACAGAGCCTACTTCTCCCTCTGCCTATGTCTCTGCCTCTCTCTCTCTCTCTGTCTCATGAATAAATAAATAAAATCTTTAAAAAAATGTACACATGGGTGTACACTTTTTGCATTTATTTTTGAAATATGTTTTAGATTTTCCTTTTTTGTGATTTGTATGTATTAGTGGAGAAATTGATATATTAGATCATTTGTTAAAAATTGCAAATCAGTGTAATGTCTTATGGCCGGGTATTGTTATCTGAAACAGTCTACTCTGATAAAATAATTTTAAAAAAGAAACTTGCAAATACTCATTATCTGATTTTAATGTATATTTTCAGATCAATTAAAGCAGTCTCATTTAATGATTACTACAAGACATGGTCTGGAATAGCCACATCAAAAGCCACAGAATATTATAGAAGTTCATGTAAGGTGATCTAGCCTTATCTTCTGTCCTTTCAGTATATATTAATCTCTTAATTACTCTGAACTTGTCTTGCTTTCAAAGACTAATTGACATATATTTGTAATCTGAAGGTGATAAACTTCTCTGTTACCTTTATATACAAATCATTCAACAACTATTAATTTAGTTCCTCTTTTGTATAGAGCCCTGAGCTAAAGTCTCATTAAAAGCCAGAAGGAAATATAGACAATTAGAGGGATAAAAGATGAAGTTCTCAAGCTTATGAGGTTTACTTTACTCCACCCCCAAAAGTGGAATCTTCATAGCTAGAGGAGCCTTTTTCATTCTAAAAACAATTATCTTCAAAGCCAGAGAAAGTATTAAGTAGAAAGACAGCATGAAAACATATGAACCTACGGCTTTCAATTATATCAGTCTCAGGAAAATCACCTGTTGCCATCATACATTAGGAGTTAAAAAGACAGAAGGGGAGAACTAGACAACTTTCTAGTCCCATTTAATCAAAACTTAGAGTGTGCTGTTTTGCTATTTAGATCCAAATAGGTTATCCAGCCTACTGCTCTGCTATCCTGCTGAAATGGTGCTTGCTAAAGTTACCCATGACTTCCTAATTCCCAGGCTCAGTGATAACTTTTTAGCCTTTGTCTTCCTTGTTCACTATGCCTATCTGTCAATAATCCCCAAAACCTCATCTCTAGTCAGGCTCTCCTCTGAATTCTGCATGCATATTTACTACTATGCATTGGATAACCACCAACATGGGTAATAGGCGTCTCCTACTCAAGATGTCCCAAAATGAATTTGTTATCTTGACCCCAAACTATCCTCACCCCCTTATTGCCTCCCTTAGTGGTAGCTCGCCACTATTACATTTACTTGCCTAAACCAAAATCAGATGTTTCCTAGGGCTCTTTACTTTCCAGATTAATCTTCGTTTACTTTATCTCCTACAACATTAGGAATGTTTCCCCTCTCCACTCCACCTAGTCTCATTGAATTTCATCTCATCATTGTGGTAATCTCATATTTGGTTTCAACAGAACAAAATATTACCAAAAAAGTTTGTAATTTTACGGCACAAATTAGAGCAAAAGTAATACTAAGTTTAACAAATATTAAAAAATAAATTAGATCAGTTATTTCTAAGAAATTACATGTTCTTTCAGGATGTTATTATTTTATGATCACACATTACCTTCCTCACTAATTATAGATTAGTAGTAGTTAGGAAAAATAATTATGGTGCTTAAAGAAGCACAATCTTTGGCAACTCTACCAGTATAAATAATTTTATTACTTTCGATGCCAGAGTATGTGAATATTTACTTCATTTGAAAGATTTGTGAAAAAAAAAAAAAAGATTTGTGGTTGGTGCTCACTAGTCAACCAGGCAAACACAACTTGAACACCTCGTATGTGGAGGCACTGAGGAACTCAGATGGGATCCAGAAGACAGGAACCCTTAACAAACAAGGTATCCAGAGACAGTTGGCATGCTTTAGGGAAAGATTCAGCATCCAGCTCCTTTAACCATAAAACAAACCAACTGGCATAGAATGGTGCCTTATGGAATAACATGCAACTATATAGAAGTACTTGGAAACTCCAAACTGCTAAGAAAAAAAAAAGAAAAGAAAAGAAAAAAAAAGAAAGAAAAGAAAAGCACCTGCCAGAACTTTGGGGAATTTGGAAATGATTGTCTTGCAATAAAGAACAATTAAAAATGGAAGGAATTCATGAAGTACCACTGACTATAGTTTCTTCTTCAAAAGAATTGACACCAAAATGTTTAATTTGGTTCTCATGTCCATGCCTTTAGTATGTAAATTCATCCCTTTTTGTGAAGCCAATAGTTTTAGTGGCTGCCTCTAGCCCAGAAGAATTTCTGAGACTGATTCTAGCCCTTGATGCAAGATTTCACAATCACCCTGCCTGTTCTCCCCCAAGGGATTTGTTAAAAGAATGTTTCAGGAGCTTTCCTTCAATAATAACCAGCACTTAATTTTTAAAAATTAAATTTAAACCTTACATGTGCTGCTGGCCATTTTTTCTTTGGATAATTCAGCTGGATGAGATCCAGTACTATTTTTTAACAGCCTAATTTCCTGGCAATAATAAAGATGAAGCTTTGAGATTATAGAATGATTCTTCAGCTACTGAGAAATAAAAGGGAAACTTCTAATAACTTCAGTTTCTACAGTTACATTCTTTTTTAAAATTTTAGTTTGTTTTTTAGAGAAGGAGAAGCATGGGGAGGGAGGATCTTAAGCAGGCTCCTTGGCCAGCACAGAGCCTGATGTGGGGCTCCATCTCACAATCCTGAGATCATGACCTGATCCAAAATCAAGAGTCCAACACTTAACTGACTGAGCTACCCAACTGCCCCTCTACAGTTATATTCTTATCGCTCCAAAGATTATGAAACTCTTGTGCATATTTTTAAAAACTTTTTTATGAATATTGATGAGTGGTTATATTTTGATTTGGGGTATTAACTCTTTTCCATATCTTTGTGCTACAAATCTACCCATAGTTATGTGTGCCATAATAATAGTAAGTTTATTCATGTACAGTATGGTTTACAGAGTATATTCTTGTGTTTCTTAATCATCCCAGTCTTTGTCAACCAATGTTTATTGAATGCCTAATATATGTCATGCATAGTAGTATATCAAGCCTCTGAACCAGGCATTATTATTATTATTATTACTCTGTTTTACAGATGAGAAAACCAAGACCAAGAGAAGCTAAGTAATGGACCTAAGGTCACACAGGTAGGAGGGAATATTATATACTGGTAAAAAGTGTAAATTGCTGAGACTTAATCCCAGCTCTGCTACTTACTAGCTGTGTGACTTTAGGTGAGTTTTCTTTTCAATCTCTCTGTGTCAGTTCCGTGTCTGTAAAATGAGAATAATTACAGCACATACCTTATAGCATTGAAGCACTTGTAGTAGTGCCTAGCACATAGTGAGTGCTCAATGAAGGTGGCTGTTATTAATTAGTACAGGTAGACTGTGGCTCTAGGACTTGAACCAGCAACTCTGACTTACATCTGTTGCTCTTTTTATCATGCTATCCTGCCTCCATAATGTGGTATCAAAATGCCATCTCTATATAGCCTGAGATCTAAATTAAACTCTGAAGTATATGCAGTACATTTTTCAATAATTATAATTATTAGTTTATAATCATAGGCAATCATATGGGAACATGTACTGATAATCCACTGTTCTCTGTTCATCAGTATAGAATGGCAAATAAAAGTTTGGCAGAGAACAAACCAATACATATGGTTGTGGGCAACAGCACCTTAATGACAGAATATGATCCCCATAAGGAAATGTTTATGTTAAAGGAAAAGAATTCCTTCAGACCAGTGTACCCTGTAATACTGAGAGGAGGCTTTCTGGTGTTTGTTTGCTGTCATCAGACAGACTAGACACCCCAGAGCATCATGGGGATGCTTGCTTTTGCCTAAAAGACTTCCATTCTTTGAGTCTTTGAGCGGGAAATAAGGGCAAGTGTCCCTAGGATGCATTTAGATGGAAGAGGCAGCAGCATCTCATTCTAATCCAGTGGTTCTCAGTCTTGACTGCTCATTAGAACCACAAGAGGAACTTGTAAAAATTCCCATGTAAAAGGCACACCCTCAGATTAATTACATCAGGATCTCTGGAAGCAGGACCTAGCTAGCGGTAGTAGTTTTTAAAGCTCCCCAGGTAATTACAATGTGCAGCCAAGGTTGGAAAGGCTGCAGTGAGAAGAGCATGGTATTGGAAGTTGGGGACTCCAGAGCTCTGAACTGGTTTTGCCACATACAGTTAAGTGAATTTATGTTAGTCATTTAACTCTTTGTGCCTTATTTTTCATTTCTTTTCACTGACAGAAGCACTCTATGTTAAGTTGCTCCGTGATTCGTATGAGATCATATGTGTGAAAATAAAACATGCTAAGGCAAGTTGATGCTATTGTATTTCTTTGGGTGTGACAGTCCCAGGAGTGGAAAACAAAATTGAAATCAACCTATACAGATGTTGGATAAGAGATGTGTCATGGAAAAAACAAAATAAAGGTGATGCACAGTTATCCTTAGAAGGAAGGGAAAGAAAGAAGTGGGTTACAGAACCAGTAGAAGATGATTTTCCATCACAGATACAAAACTGCCACAAAGATAAGATATGGTCATGATGGGGAATTTCAGCTTCAAAAACTTTGGACAAAATTTCACTGATCCTTTCCTCCTGCTTCCCCTCATGTGCCCGGTGCCCTGCATTATTTCCCTCCTGTCACCATCACTCATTGAGCATTTTCCATGTCTAAACAATGAGCTGTGTGTTGGAGATAACATACATATTATAATAAGTGTTTTAAGAAGTTTATGATCAAATGGCAGAATAGGTGAATGAAAAAACATAGGGATAAAATAGAAAGCATTAAAATAAAGTTTGTACAAATACTGTGGCATTTTCCAACTCTCAGCAGAGAAAGCAATGAAGAAATGAGTCAGTGATAAAACATTAATGGAAATATTCAGGAAGGATGACCATAACATATGGGGTTTCATAATATATAAGGAAGAGACTAATGTACATATTCAAATAGAAAATGTAGGGAAGGTAATTTCAAAAAAATTAAGAAAATATATGAATTATCTTTGAATACAAACCTCAAATTTAAATTCGTCTAAGTGATAATGAAGAGTCTCAATGAGAAGACATTACTCAAATTTTGTTTGTTCATCTGTGAAGTGTATATTGTAATGGTAACCACTGCTTTCCTACTTTACAAATGCCCAATGTGTAGGAAGAACTCTTGTTAATACTAGTTTTATAATCATCTAAAGGAAATAATGAGACCTCACTAAGAACCCTAGGGAGCTCAGATTTGCTTCCTTAATAAGGAAAGGAGGAGTATAAGTCTAAATACCAACAAAAATATTACTAAAGGCCATAAGAATATATATATATAGGGGTGCTTGGATGGCTCATTTGATTAAGCGTCTGCTTTCAGCTCAGGTCATGATCCTGGAGTCCTAAGAGCAAGCCCCACATCAGGCTCCCTGCTCAGCAGAGAGTCTGCTTCTCTCTCTCTGTCCCTCCCTCTGCTTGTGCTCTCTTGTGCTCAGTCTATCAAATAAAATAAAGAAAATCTTTTTAAAAATATGTATATGTGTATTTGTGTGTTTGAAGGAAGAAAAAAAACTAAAGACAAGAACTGATGAAAATTATGTAATATTAATAGACAAAAATGAGAACTATTCAGTTTAAATGTTTCTGTCAATGACATATTTCATCAAGCTAGCAGAGGTTAATCAATCATTGTTTAGAAGGAAGCTCCAGAAAAAGGTAGGTAAGACTGGTGGAGAGCATCTAGTTGGTTAAATAGTGCAAGACTATAAACCCAGGACAATTACAAGAAACAGGGAGATGGATGGATGGATAGATAGATAAAGTGTGTGTGTGTGTGTGTGTGTGTGTGTGTGTGTGTGTGTGTATGATCTGGCTTTCAATAAATTTTATGTTAATGTGATTGAAGGCATATAATTAACCACAAACATATGTGTGCCAGTAGTGTAATGTTATTTCCAGGAAATAATATAGCAGATCTGAGCTGAATTGATAGAAGTAGAGCACACAGGTCAAGGGAGACAGTAACCCATTTACATCTTTGCTATTCAAAAGAAATCAAGATCCTGAGCCAGTTCTGTATGTAAACTTTCATAGGAACCTTAACAAAGTTCACCACCGGGATGATGAGGATGGTTAGGTCTCCAGAAACCATGTCCTTGGTTGAAGCTGACAGAACTGAGGTGGCTCTGAGAGCCTTCGTGAATTATTAGAAGGGCTTTTTCCCATGGGAAAAGGATGAACCTAGCTAGTATTGCTCCAGAGCTCAGAACTGAGACCAGTGGAAACTCAGCACTCAGATTGAGAAACACTGTGACCTTACTGTCCGGAATTGGCAATAGGCAATTTCCCAACAATAGAGGGGAGTTTTCTGTCGTTGGCAAGGTATTCATTTGGAGGCTGGATTGGATGATCATCTGTTGACGACTCATGCTTTGTGAAAGATCAAGACACACCGTATCATTTCCAACTCCAAGATTTTATGTCTTCACTCGTGCTGAACTAGAATATTGATAAACTGTGGGATCTTTAGTTTTTGTATGAGTTATTTTAACACCTTCATTACTACAAATGATATATAAACAAGTGTGATTATAATGAAAACCTTGAAGAAAAGTCTAATTGTTTCAAAGTTCAAGTCAAAGGAAGAAATTTGTTAAGTGACTGAACATTGTAGTATGACTTGAATGATATAGTGTACATCATTGCCATATATCAACTTAATGAAAAGTAAGTTATTTTAAACTTAGAACTATTATTAAAAAATGCATACACAACTCCTTTTTCAAAACTCTAATTTCAGTGCTTGAAGACCCAAATTTTATTGGAGAGTATTATAAACAGAAGAAAATTGAATTAAAACATACTAAAGAATGGAATTTAAAGTAAGTAATTTGCATTCTACTTTCTACTGTCTAACTGACTCATCAGAAGAAATCTTTGGAAATAACAATTGTTGCCCTTTTCTAAACATAAGAACAAGAATGAGAAGGTATCATTTTTTCCTTTCCTATGAACCCAGATGGGAAACATCTTTTGCTACTGTTAATCTTAGAAATGTCAGTTATTTGACCAGCAAAAAAGGGATTTATTCAGGAGTAGCAGAGAATTGCAATTTGGGATTTACAAACTACGTCAAAACTACAGGGCAAGTCCAAGAAATGTAGGAAGAAGAATGACACTTTATAGAAAAGGAGGAAGTTGGGAAGAGTTGTTTTGAAAGGAAGTCCATTGGAGAAAAGCAAATGTTTGGAATGATGCCCATTTGTCATTGGCTGAGTTACTGGAGTAGTCCATTTCTTATAGGAAATGCAATGGACATCTTTTCTGTTGGTATCTGTGATTGAGAATTCTTTCCTGTTGATGATTCTTCTGTTGGAGTCCGTAATGGACAGTTCTTGGAATTGATGCTAGGTAGTAGAGCTCCTCCTTCTGGCCCCAACTCCATTTTAGGAGGGTTCCCTTTATTAATTTTCACCTGTTGACTGCCAAAAATAGAGATGATCATGAGACGCAGTGAAGGACTCTCACGGTATCCTCCACATTAATTCTTTTACTCCCATTCCCATTATCCTTATCAAAATATGACTTAGAAATAGGAAGGGGGCACCTTGATGGCTCAGTTGGTTAAGCGGCTGAATCTTGATTTCAGCTCAGGTCATGATGTCGGGGTTGTGGGATGGAGGCCCACCTGGGGCTCCACGCTCAGTCAGCGGGGAGTTTGCTTGAGATTCTCTCTCTCCCGCTACCCCTCATACTTGCACACATGTGTGCACTCTCTCTCTCTCAAACAAATAAAATCTTTTTAAAAATAGGAAAAAACTCAAAATAGAACCCTCAAAATAGAACTATCACTAGTTAGCGTTTCATCCTTTTCATAGTTCCAAATATCTTTTTCCACAGATTTTTCACTCAGGAACCAAATTATTTCATCTAACAAAAAAGTACGTAGTAAAATAAAAAAACTGCAATATATTCAGAAATTATTGACTATTGGGACCACATTAACGAAGGAATCTTAATCTCATCTTTGGTCACTTGAGTCCTAAAGGCAGTTTTTCTTTTTCATCATGTTAAAGCAAAGATTACATCCCAGCTCTGTGATGTTGATGAGGCTATAGTACTTATTCCAGTGTGCTTATTTCAAGGTACTTGGTAAATGTTCTACACAATGTAAGAGGAATTAAAGATCCTTCTCTTTTTTGGCATTTACCTGAGGTCATTTATCTCAGTTTTTAGCTCTTTGGCTTGTTTAGCAATGTGGTTATTTCTAGATAGAAATACGGGAGTAATAAAAATAATGAGCTGTATTTTTAAAAAGATTTTATTTATTCATGAGAGACACAGAGAGAGGCAGAGACATAGGCAGAGGGAGAAGCAGGCTCCTCAGGGAGCCCTGTGTGGGACTCGATCCTGGTACTCTGGGATCATTCCCTGAGCCAAAGGTAGATGCTCAACCACTGAGCCACCCATGTGCTGTATTTTGAATTTGTGTAGAAATTGAAGTTCTTAAAAAAAAACGTACTCTCCTACTGTTAACATCATAATTCAGATTGGGTTTTTCAGTTGGATATTCTTTTTTTAGTTGACTTCTGTGACAACTTCCCTTCAAGCCAAAGTGGAGAAAAGCTTTTGCATTCAATACTTTTCTGCTTTCAGAATAAATTACAGGCAGTAGAAAAGTTTTTTAAAGCAGAATTTGAAGGAGTACAAGCATGTTTTTTTCTTAAAGCCATGTTTCAATTTTTGTTTAGAGTTAAAGAAAGCTGCTTAGAATATAAGGTTAATTTTGCTTTGACATGACTTCCTTTTTTATTTCCTTTAACAGAACTGCTTTGTTTTATTTGTTTGATCATTGATTCATTATGTAATGCCAGCATCCCACAGAACCTCAAATTTAGAAATAGTAGGGCCATGTCATTTTCAACTTATCCATCCACTTCTACATATGGCTGAAATAATTGTTTGCTGTTTGAGTGCTAGAACATTTTTCCAAATACATTATTTGAAGTTACAGGTCAAATTATCATGTGCATGGCTGACCCTGTCAGAATAAAACTCTCACACCTCATGCCATCTGGTGGTTGATGAGAATATATTTAGATCAAATGATACTTGCTTCTTTCAAATTTTGGAGTTGTTTAAAAACACTAAAGTTTTTTTTTTCACTAAAGTTTTTTTAAAAGATATTACATTACATTTAGCTGAATAATTTTGTTGTGGCATAAATATGTAACAATATGTTGCAAAAATCTAAAGTATGGTGAATTAGCCTCTTTTTCAAGTAATTATTAGGAGTCTCATGTTCTGCCAAAATACAATATAATAAAGTGGTCAATTCATAGAGACTCAAGTAGAAAATGTTTGGGCATCATTATAAGTGAGTAATTGGTCTAAACATACATGTAACATAATACCATTATGCATGTCTCTGTTTTAATATTGAAAATGCTTTTTTTGCACTGAAATTTCCTGTTTAAAAAAAAAACAAACCAGAAAATGCAAATTAACAGCCTTTCATCTGCGTAGTATTAAGGAAAAAGACCTATCTTTGCTGCTTCATACCCCCCTCCTAGTGTCCCCCACCCCATCTCCTCATCAATCAAGACTCCATTCTTAAGCCACACTAGGTTCTTTTTTCTCACTATTATTTCAGGACATAAGATCTCTTCACCACTTTGTGCCTTCTGCCTGGGATATCTTTCCCAGCAGGGTCTTTGCTGGTGGTCTAGCATTAGGCTTTGGTCTAAATGAAAAGGTGGAATGTGGAGTCCTTAAGCACAGGGACATGGGAGCCAGACTGTCTGAATTTCAGTCCTGGGTCTGCCAGATACCAACACCTTGACCAACTCATGGCAAGTTATCAGATTTCTTTGTGCCTCAGTTTCCTTGTCTGTTAAATGGCAGTAATAACTGTACCTACCCCTCAAGGAGTTTGTGAGGATTGATACATGAATACAAGTAAAATTCTCCAAACTATCTGGTGCATAGTAAGTACTCACAAGGTCCACTGTTATTCATGCTTTTCCTACTGTGGCCCTAGTTCCATTTTCAGCTAGAACACCATTCTTTGGAGGTAGCAAAGCGGGGAAAAAGCATAGGCTTTCAGGTCAGACAGACCTTAGGAAATTCTTACTGACTCTCAGCTTGTTTTCTTAACTATTAAATAGAGATAACATCACTTACCTTGCAAAGTTGTTTTACATTTGATCTCTTGAGGTCATAGATATGTAGGCAGATAGTTTTGACTTAAAGACATTCAATAAATATTAGTTCCTGAGGAGAGGAGGCGATAAAAACCCACACCTCCCAACTTTTCAGAGAATAAAAATAGTCTGTCAGAAATGGGTTAAAACTGTAAAATTTTCTCTGGCTAGAACACAGGCAAGGCCAATGTATCATGACTGCATTTATTTTAGTTCTATGATACATGTGGTTCTTTTCCCTTTTCTCCTTCCTGGAAAAATGCATCACAAGGATGGTGTGACGATCCAGCCCAACATACGTTTGTGAAGGTTTCCACATCTCCCCATGCTCTCCTCCTCCTCCTTCTTCTTCTTCTTTTTTTTTTTTTTTTTTTACACAGAACAAGAAATTTTATTATCTTGAATGCTGGTGCATAACCAATGAGGAGGAAGCTACTTGAGGAGAGACCCGACATTCCACGGTCTTTTGGGCTCATTCCAGATAGATAGTAATGGTGCCAAGGAAAAGTCTATCTTCAAAGAAAATTTTTGTTGTTGTTGTGCAGAGTAGAATAGGGCAGTGACTGCGCTCTTATGAAAGCATTGTTGGAGAAGAAGAAACATATCAGGACTGTGGAAATCTGTTTTCAAGAATGTTCCTGAAACACCTGCCGCTTAGACTTTGTTACTGATCCCGATTATTTTCCTTGCATTGGGGAAAATATCTTTCATATTTCACTATAAGGAATGGTTTTGCTCTCCTTCAATAGCATTCTGTTCCTGTCTTTTTCAGCACCTGTGGTATGGAAATCTGGAGAGTGACTAGGGCCAAGCCATTATTGTAGCTTTATATTCTTGGCCCTTAGCACAATACCTGGCACCTAGCAGGCACTTGGTCATGTTTGTTGAATGGTGCATACTTACCCTGTTTCCCCACTTAATAGGCGAATTAAATGTGAAGGCAGTTAACTTTTAGAAAAATTAAATGTAGATGCTGACTTGTATTAAGGCCAATTCTAATAGAAAGATAATGATTCTATTTGGAGAATTCTAAGGGTATAGTTATAGAAGAATGATTGAAAACTGGAAATACAAATGACTTGTGAGTATTTATGCAAATTCTTAAGTTGTACACATGTTTTTAGTTAGTATTAATAGGAACCCATTGTCATAAGCACCTCATAAATATTCATGAATTGATCATTTGGTGTGGTCATTTGATCATTTCTGAGGCCTTTTTTCCTCCTCTGTTGCCTTGCCTGTCTCTTGACTATTCATGCAAATGCTTTATTTCTACTAAGACATCGGAAAGAATATGAATCTAGAGGCTAATCAGTACTTTTTATTTTCTCTGGAGAAATAGAGATACAAAATCAGAACATTGCAAGCTGTTCCTTTAAATATTCTCCCTTTTGCACAAGTAAAACTATTGATGTCATACTCTGTGGCTAATGAATGCTTATGTGGTCATGGAAGTAGCTGTGTAGGTAACCTAGGCTTTGTCAGACAGCAAGGTATCTAAATAAAAGTTATCAGTTCTGGAGTTTTACATTCTTTGCAGCTTTAGAGGAGAATATTGCTCTTGTCTACACATAAGGGGTACAGAAGGAACAGGAACCAAATGGTGAAGCACTTCCTATGTGCCAGGCATTCTTTTATTCCTTAATGTAATACTGGCCATGCTATAGAGTTGGCCTCTAAGTG